GCATATAAACCAACATTTTCCCAGCTACCATCAGTTCTGAGAACAGGTCTGGAGACCCAAAATGTTCAGATTTCTTCAGATGCTGCCAGACCTGCTGAGCTTTTCCAGCAACTTGCGTTTTTGGCCCTGAAATAACGGCCAATATTCCATTTGCCTTCCTGATTACCCCCTGCATCTGTGATAGCTGTGTTTTGTGTACAAACAACTCCAAATCCATTTATGTTGCAACTGTTCAGTTTTTCCTTGATTTAAATAATATTCTCTTCTTAAGAACTTACTGCATGAAGACAACAATGTTGTGGACCTTGATTGATGGCATTGTGCAAAAGGTGCTGCAGGGGGAGAAAAAAAAAGACTGCTTTAGTGAATAAGTCAGAAAAATACCAAAAATCCATCACTGCACTTTCCCCTTCATGAAATGTTACTTCTAAGTCAGATGGGTCAGTAACTGAGTGGACAGCCCCTTCAGCACAGGAGAAAGCAGACTCCATACTGGTCTTTCAACCCTCACCTCAATCCCCACCCTGATGTCAGATCCAACTGGAGCAGACACCGCACCACACCAGAACTCCACTCTGCTGTCCTCACCACCCATCAGACCAGTTTTCTACAGGCCACCCTAAAAGCCCTCCTTATGTACTTGTCTTTTGAAAGCAGCTGGGCCTTTAAAAATTTCAGAATATGATAGCTGAAGGGGTATAGTTTGTCATCCTGAGACAGTTCTGCACTACAAGAGAACCTTCTCAGAAGGGTATGCCTCTAGAGGGAGGCCAGAACAGAAGTGCAAAGCTCTCCTCTTTCACAACATAGTGAGGCCCAAAAAAAATCCACTATTTTTGATAGTTATACGAAGACAATGTTAAACGGTTTACACAAACTAAGCTTATTTCCTTGTGCATTAATAAATTGCTCCTTAAAAAGAACAATTCTCAAACCACTTGCAAGAGGCAGACACTTATTACCACAGTAAATGTCAAAGAGTTAAAATTGGTCTATTAAGCCAGATTTTGCTTTGGAAAACAAAAAAACTTGTCTGTTATTATCAGCTAGTATGATAACAAAGGACTGGTGGTAGTGTTATCAAGCGGCATTCGCTCAGCAATAACCTGCTCACTAGCACTTAGTTTGGGTTCTGCCAGAGCCAGTTAGCTTCTGTCCTTGAGACTATGCTTACAGGCATTTGAGGCACCTGGAGGGTCCGATAACTGAACAGACCACTATTGAACTTCAGCAGGAAGACCTCAGACGGACAGTGGTCTTTTCCCCACTGCCCCAAGCTTTAGTGCATCCCTCAGCACAGTCCTGGACCTTGGAACGTGCCAGCCTGCAACACCGAGGTGAACACCTCATTCTGGAAGACTGACAAGGTTCAGGCAGACCAAAGTGTCTTTCAATGAGTTTATGGTCCTCCAGGATCAGTTGATGTTTATCTCAGCGTGCATTCCTGAGAACAGACTGTAGAGCAGTGCCCTATAATCAGAGGTACTCGCCCCTTTCCTTTCTCCCGTAAGGTCGAGGATGCTACGTGCTGACCACTTCCTGACAGACTCGTGGTCAAAGATATTTTTCTTTGCAAGTTTCTCCACAAGGACAGGTGATACGGAACTGTCCACCTACTTGGAGCATTCGGCAACAACGAAGTTAGTCCTATCCTTTACGTACTGAGGTTCTACTTGTCCTGTGTTGCGGTGTCACTTGTTTGCATACAGAGGGTCTACACACAGCTCGATGCGGCTGTGCAAAGATGGCATGAGGGTATGTTCTTCCCACCCTTATCCAGAGCTTTTTTTTTTTTTTTTTTTAAAAAACATTGTGGCCCTGCAGACACTGTCCATCTAGACCTCTCGATGAAGTGGAAAATGTCTTGGATGACTGCGATGGCACAGTTTCAGGGAATAGGCCAAACCTGCACCACATACTCTTTGTATCTCACATCTGATGACCAGGTTTTTAAACCCACAATTGAGGGGGTGCAGTGCTCCCAAAAGCCCAGTTTGACTCACCTTGGCAATGCACACCCCAAGATTTTGGACATATGCCAGCCCCTCCAAACCACATTCCCAGCACCTTCAGATAATCTTTCCTGACCAAGAGGATAAAGGATCAGTTGGTCCAGTTCTCAAAGAATGTGGCCTCTGCTCTTGCCTCAACTTACTTTAGCTCCCGAGGTCAGTTTGACTTGGTCGCAGATGCTCACGAGTCTGCACGCCGACAGCGGATCCAAGCAGAAAACTTCAATATCATTCATGTACAGGTAGGCTCCTACTGCCTGGAATAGTCACCCCTCTCAGGCTCACATCCTTTCTGATGGATCTTACTACTGCCTTGGTCTAAATAGACAAGAGCTGAACTCGAGAGGGAGTAACAGCCCTCAAAAAGTAGTATTTGAGGGTGCAAAGACTCCAGTATTAGGTTATTATTGCATTTCTTAAAACAAGCAACTTGACATTTTCAGTACTGTTGATATAGCTGCTGGCTCAAGCAGCAGATGCAGACCAGCTGCATCCAAGAGTGTGCAAAAAATGGAGATTCAGTCAGCAACAAGCGACTAGATAGGATTGGCAGGCAGAAGGCCTTTGGTCATCAACTGAGAGATTAGCTCTTAGGTAGTTGAGCAGCTTGGGGCTGTAAACAGATAGAAGCTGCAGACCTCACAGGAATGCTAGTAAGACCTTCATTATTATTATTTCTCATTTTTAGTTAGAGTGTGAATTGAAGGGGATCACTGGACTGTAGGCAGTTTTTGAAAAACCAAATGGATATTCGTTAAAGGGCCTTGGAAGTTAATTGGAGATTAGAATATTCTAACGATAAATCAGACATTTCAGGTCCAGAGATGCATTAAGCTCTCAAGGCTGGCAGACGTCCATATGTTAACACAAAGGGCCAAAGGCAGGCCAGTGTCAACCAGTCCGGAGAACCTGGGGGGGGGAGAGAGAGAGAGAACTTGAACTCGCTGCTCCTATGATGCTGTGTTCATCCAGCCCTGCACCTTGTTGTCTCGAGAACTTGAACTCAACTGTTTTTAATCAGATGCCTGTGGCTGTGAAAGCCGCTGGAACAAGTTTCAGTTGCTCTCCAGTTATTCTCCCATTATAATCTTGTTGAAATTGGAGTAGAATTCCAGTTAAGAATCACATGAATATTCCTCAGGAGCCTACCAGAAGCAATTTGCATTGACTGGTGTCTTCAGGTATCATGCTAGATCCCATATGCCTGGTAATACCTCACATTGTTGAAAGTGCTTAGGTGAACGGTCCAGTTACATCTTATTTTTCTTTTAAATTTATCCCTTAACTGTCAGTCTGTTAGAGTTAGGCTATGTTAAAAAGATGACTTGGGTTGGCATGGACAAGATGGGCTGAATGGTCCCTTCTGTATCATTTCTAAATACTTTAAACCCAGTCTTAAAGTATCAGACACTAGATTACCTTGTTGCTTAGTTTTGTTCTGCTAAAGTTAGTATTGTTAAGTTTTCGCTTAACTGTAAACAGTGTCTGAACTTTGGAAAAGTCTGCTTAGGAACCATTGGAGCAATTGAAGAGTCAAAGAATATTCAATTTTACTGGGTTGCAAATACAGGGATAAGGAAGTTGGTTTGGTTTGGTTTGATGTCCCCATGACATACCAGCACACACTTCTCTACAGTAGGTTACTTTAAGCCTGAAGAAAGTGAATTTTTCTTTTAGCAGTTGCTGTAAATCGGGATTTATTAACTAATAAGTCAGTGTTTCAGAAGTGTGAACTAGCCACCTTGTGACTACTGCAAACAAGTAAACCATCCAGAGAAGACCAAGCAGTGGACTTCAGATCAGCACAGGAACCATCGGTGTCTGAACAGAGACCGCGCAATCATTTCAGAGTTTTCCCTGTCTGGAATGCCCTTTTGTCCCCCCTTCTTGTAAGAAGGATTTGCATTTGGAGTTTAACATGCTCATTGTTCAGAAGAGCTGTACAAGCAGAAGTAATTTTTGCGCTATGCACGTAGAGCGGGAGAAGGAGCCTAACCATCACCTCTTGACATTCAATGTCATTGCAGCTGACAAATGGAATTGGACTAGCCATACAAATACTGTGGCTACAACAGGTCAGAGGCTAGGATACTGTGGCACGACCTTCATCTCCCCAGTTATAAACAGTATAAAAGTCAGTAGTGTGATGGCATACTTCCCTCTTGCCTGGATGAGTGCAACTCTAAAACAAGAAAGTGACACTATCCAGGACAAAAAGTAGCTTGCTCAAGTGGCATCCCACCAAAATCACTAGCAGCACTATCATCTGCAAG